AATTAGTATTTAATATTTAAATATTCTGGATTCAAAAAGCATCAAAGAACTCAACTTGCAAAGTTAGTAGATGGCCTTTAAACAGATAACTCCAAAGAACTGATTCTTTTTAAAATAAAAGTCAGAAGTAGACTGAGGAAATAAAGTCTGTATTCTTTGAAGAGAATATTTACATTGCTTATAAGATATGAAGAGGCGAGCAACCTTGCTAACAGTCAGAGACAAGATTATTTAAATTACATACCTAGTTGCCCAAACTGCCACATCCTCAGTCTGGAATGGGAAGAATTCCATCAGCTAGCCACAGCAAGCACAGTCGTGCATTGTTGCACATTTCAAAGACCATACCCACTTTTTCTTTATCAGATCATGAATTGTAAGCTTTCTAAAAATGCCTTGTGAATACAGAGATCCAGTTGACCCAGAGTTCACAGTGCTTCGTAACTCCCGGTCAGCACTGGAGTGGCATTTTGGGTATTTTCTCCTTGGTCTTGTTGCCTGAGCCTGTCCTCCATTACAGTTACCTTCTGAAGATTGTTCTTACATATAGCTCTTCAGAAACAACTTTCAGGGGAAAAATGAGTACTTCACACAGAACACCAGTGAAGGCAAGAGAATTTGTCAAGCCTGCTAATGCAATCAAAAGTGGTTGTCAGGTTGGTGAACAGCTTGATTGTGTTGTTGGCCTACTTTCAAAAAAAAAAAATAAAAGCTTCAAAATCTTTCATTAATTCAAGTGTGGTTATGATAGGACAGTCATAGGAATATACTTATAGCAAGTTCTGTGCCATCTCCTAAGAAAACATGTGCAGAGACTCTTGGCCCTGAGAGGTAAAAACAGAAGCTCTTACTTTGGAGCTCACATACTTTGAGTTCCACTGTGTGAGTTTAATGAGACATAGCCATTTCCAAGGGGCGGAGTTGTTGTTTTGCTTGTTTTATTTGATTTTTTACAGCACTGGAGATTGTGTCCAGGGCTTTGCACACATTAGACAAACATTTTACCATTGAGCTCTGTCCCTAGCCCTGTAACATGCTCTCTGAAGGCAATTACATGATAATCAAGGAATAGCTCTCTCACACATGAAACTTCACCTAGAGACTTTTAAAAGCAGCTAAATCTTATCTAGATTCATTCCTTCTGCCTTTTCCTTCTAATTTATTATTCCTTTGTGGTCCGTAGATGTTTTCTGTTGGTTTAGAAAAATAATATGCAGATACGAAGCAAGCCTGCAGGCTCTTGGCAGTAACACAGCAGTAGAGCGAGAACCTCCCCTTCTCCTAGTGCTGCCTTGTTTGCTACTGTATCTTCAAGGGAATTAACCAAGATCAAAAGACCAAAAGGATGGGCAATTTCTTCCCTGGAGACCAAATTTTTAGGCTTTCACTGTTTTAATTCTCTTAAACTGATCAGACTGCTGGGTAATGGAACAGAGCAGTTAATTGAACTTTTATAAAGCACCAATTCTGTAAACAGAGCAGTGTAATGATCACTGTGACACAGCAGCTGTGAGCAGATGAAAGCAGGGTCAGCACCTCATGTTTTCATTGTCTTGACAGAAGTTCGCAGCCTTGAAGAGTTTCCTCTGCCTTCCATGCTCATTTTCCACTAACTGGTTCTTTCCTGTGTTCATTGCTGTTGCTGAGCACCTAATCTGTATCAGGCTGTGTGCTACAGCTGTGTTTTCAGTGACAAACAGGCTTCCATCCTTTCCCTCTTGGGAGCCCGAGTATTAGAATCTGTCTGCCACCCCCTCCTCTCTCCACTCTGTTTCATTTCCTCCTTCTGTGTTTCTCTTGCTAGCTGGCTTGCTTGGTTGCAGATTTGGCCTCACTGGCACACCGTGCCACCCCATGACCAACAGTAGGAAAGCGTGGTGCTTTGGGGATGGGGCATTCTACTCTCATGTTCGATTGCACCTGGAAAGATGTCAGACAGGAGACAAATCATCCACTGTCAGACAGTGCCTTGAGGAGTTAAGGGTCCAGCCTCAGTTTTCTAAATCCAGGAAATCAGTAATATATATACATCTAATCAAACTCGAGTGACTGATTCGTGCTCCTCAAAAGTTTGAAAACATTCTATACCAGAATACTAATTTTTTTCTTTACTTTGGGGGAGAGTCAGTAGATAAAGGAACTACTGGCCTTCACTTCTTCACTTGTTCTTCTCTCTTCTCTCTCTCTCTCTCTCTCTCTCTCTCTCTCTCTCTCGGTACGTTCATAAATCAGAAAGGTGCTCAATGAACATACAATTAAGATCCTATTAACTGGCTGTGTATACTAACTGTACCATTAGTATGATGATGAAGTGTTGGCTTCACTAAAACTCTCTCATTCCTCAAGGCTCTCCCACCCAGCTCCCAATAAACAGACCTTAGTGCGTTAAAATTTTAGGGAAATCCAGTGCACCCACCCTATTTTAAAAATAAAATTGCCATATGATACAACATAGGTTAACAGAGTGGGATCTGCCTTCATTGTAATCAAACTTTAGAGAGCCAGGCTCTGTATTTCCCTTCATTCCTTGCTGTGAGAGACAGACACACTACTCTGAGCCAAACTTCAGAATTCGAATGTGGCTAACCTCTGGCACACTCTGTGTGTGACTCTTACCTCTCACAGACTTATTGAGGAAACTGAAAGGGGATTAGTGATGCTCTCAGGTACAAGCTGGACTTCATGTTTGTTACCCTGTCATCTACCATTGCACCCAGCTTAAATCCCAACCACCCAGCTCCCAGGCAGAGTGAATTATTCTCTTCTCTGAATCCACAGTGGTTTTCACTGTTTCCTCTGTCTCAATCACTTTCTGTACAGTGACTTATCTAGCAGTAAGTGTGAGCACAAGTTTTCTCACTTACCCACTAGCCTTTGTCTTCTTGGTTCCTAAGAAAGAGTGTGGCAAATAATTGAGGCTTAGTAATTCTCTGGACAATTTATTAAGAGTGTCTCTCCAGATAGCTAGTGTAGTCATTTGGATGGGGGTTCAACAGCCAAACCGGCAGCCACCTGCTTGTGTGAAGTCTTTCTAGAATGCATCCAAACTTTTTCCAGCCACTTAGACATCCCCTCATGCTACCACTGCAAAGCAAGGTGATTGAGAGAGAGACTGTACATCCTCTCAACATAAAATATCTACTCTCTGTCCCATTATGGAAAAAAAATCTCACTGATTCCTGGCCTAGAAGTATGCTTCCCTCTGTCCCATTATGGAAAAAAATCTCACTGATTCCTGGCCTAGAAGTATACTTCCCTCCACTAAAAACTGCTTCATGAACTGTGAAAAGGGCTTAGTCATAGGTGGCCATTTGTCTAGAATTTTTTTAAAAAGTCATATGCCATCACTTTTGATCTACCGAATACTACAAAGATAACATAGAGATGCATCGGATTGCATCCTGGAGGATTGCCCTCTGGTTGCTCTCAATAGAACTGGGGTTTTCTTACTGGAATTGGGGTTTTCTAAATGTGTCTGCCTTTGCATGTCATCATTTTTCCTCATATTTGAGGGACATCAGTAGAAATGGGTATAGAAAGAATCCCATAATCACTGCCTCAGTGATTAGCCTGTGACTGAATGTCAGTTCAGTTAGCAGAAATAAAAACTTTATTTCTCCAGAGGTATGTGAAACAGGATTCTATGGCTGTAGCCGACATGAAAATACCTTCCTGGTCCATTTCCAGGAGCAGTCTTATACTGAAGTTTTGTCTCTAGACTTTCACAGAATGGGCGTTTGTCGAGTCAAGTTTAACTAGAGTAAACTAAGCACAATCAGCTTTCTGGACTCAATTTCTAGAGGTCAGTTATTCTGTTTATATGGGAGCTCTTTTTCAGTGACCTTCGTTAAGTACCATCGTAAATAGAATCTTGTTCTTTAAAGGCTTTACGTAATTCAGTTCTTTACATAATTCAGTTGCGCCAAGCCTTTGAGTTTAGGTATAAATACTGTGTCCGTGCTCAGAAGAGAGAGGATGCATGCTTCTGTATTTGGTAAATAAGCTTCACACAGGAAGTGCAACTAAAGTAACCACTGAAGGAGTTTTTTAAAAAAAGAAAGAAAGCAATTGGGGCTGGAGAGATGGCTCAGCAGTTGAAAGCACTTGCTGCTCTTACAGAAGACTCAGGTTCAAATCCCAACACCCACATGGAGGCTAACAGCCATCCATAACTTCAGTCCCAGGGAATCTGTTACCCTCTTCTGTCCTCTGCAGGCACTGCACCACATGGGTGCACTTACATACATACAGGCATAGCACTCATACACATAAAATAAAAATAAGCAAATAATTTTTAGAAAGAAGTAAAGAGGTTAGAAGGCATGTAAGGCAGAATGATGGTGTGAGCAGACAGGCACATATGTGCATTCAAAGAAATGGATTATCTCAGTCATTGAACCACGTGCTTTATTCAGGACAGAGAGACTGAGCATAAAAGTCAATAGGTAGGTTCATTCTATAGCTCTAGAATTTAAGTATCTTAGATGCCTCAGCTTATGGGTAGGGAATCACAGACTATCCTGAGCAGAGAATAAAAAGATAATGGCAGAAAGTGTGGGGAAGCTGAGTGAGGAGACACAAGGGAAGACCTCTATGTGAAGAGGAGCCATGGGCAGATTATTTAAGATCCATGAAGCAGGAGGTAGCTAGATAAGAAGTGAGTCAATGCCAATCTTAGAACTTGTTGCCTTAGAACATGTGGTTCATCACTAACAGCAAGTAGGAAGTCAAAGGCACTGTGTACAGTGGGGTGTGTGATTAATTGCTTTTTATAAATAGAGGAGGTCCTGAGCTCAGTAGAGAAGCCAGGGCAAGGAGGTAGGTACATCTGGGCATTCTTGTCATAAAAGAAGGAATAGTCGAGTGGCTTATTAAGCAGATGCCATCCAAGGAAGACTTTAGGATTTAGGTATCAGAAGAGCATTTACTACCTTTGGAAAATGAGAACCAAGTTGCTGCAGCTTAAAGCTGAAGTGCTCAGTCTGGGGTCCTAGACTTCTAATGGGGCACAAAAGTAGTATTGGAGAAGTTTCTAAAACCTAACGGAAGTCTTATATAAAGCTAAATAAACAAGTAATCAAAAAATGTAATGAATGTTCCTCTTTCCTGTACTTATACCAACACACTATTGGGTTTTATACAGGACTTAAGTCCTGGTGTATATTAAAGATGAATTTGGGTGCTTTAAATGGCAAAGGACGCTATTCTTCAATCTTGCCTCTTCATTTCAGGGTTTCTTGGAAAATGCTTTGGCAAATGTGTGAGATAATGATGTGAGGTTGCCTAGTAGCAGGCTTTGTGATAGGCAGAATCAGATTTTTAGTCCTAAGATGTCCAAATAACTACAATACTAATAGGTTACAGTGTATCTCCTCGTACATTGTCTCAGCTGTCCTTCTCACCACTCATTAAAACATCGCTCTGCTACCTCTAATTCAGAAAATAATTAGGCAGGCTCCTTTTAACTTTGCACTGGCCTAGCCCTTAAGAGTTGCTTAAAGATTGATCTGGAAGAATTCAGCTCATTCTTTTCTTTGGCTTCTATTAAGAAAATTGAAAACCTGCTTTTTAAAGTGTCCATTAGCAAAATCACCTTGGAAGATGTCTATTTTTTTTTAATGGGTGTGTGTCACATCTGTGGCTGTTTAATTCAGTTACTCAAAGAATAATGATGCAAATATCCGTAATAAATATTTGAAGCGAGAAGTGAATTTTTGACACAGGCATATATCCGAATCTTGTATTCCATCACATACATTTTAAGGAATTATTGTAATCTGCTGAGAATCATTAACAATATGAAAAACTCATGGTTTCGAGTACTTGGGGTGTCTGTTAGTATGCTGTATTACTAGAGAGCTTCAAAACTGCACTTCTGAACAGGAACTGTGTGTGTACCTCACATTCTTTTTTTTTTTTTTTTTAATTTGTGCTAATTTCCATTTAGAAATTTCTCTTGAAGTAGACTAAAATCATGAACCAAATTAACCTGTAAAGTTAGTTGAACACTGTCTTAGGAGGTCTCTTTTCTCCACATCCCATGCCAAAACCCCTAGACATTAAGAAATTATCTTAAGATAAAGACAGACAACAACAATTAAGAAAGAAGTTTCACACACACACACACACACACACACACACACACACACACAGGGACATCAATTTTAAAATACTGTTCGATCTCAGATTAATGAATATACTAAAACATGGCACCCAACACTGTCCTTTGCTGCAGTTTCATCTGTCTTCTTAATGTGAAATACATGGCCCACATCTACATTGAATTCCATTCTCAAAGCCTGTCTTCTGACTGGAATCTTTTGCAATCCCTATCCCCCAGCTGTCACTACCCTGAGTACAGATCAGACAGCTCTAAGCCCTGAGGAGAGTTGAGCACCTCTGTGTCATGGCAGACCACACAAGTTGTGCTCCAACCAGGTTTTAAGAACCTTCCAGAGATATATTTTATAAGAGAGCTCCTGTCTAAGAAGCAACCCCACCCCATGTTCTGCCCCTCTGATGTCCCAGGACTGGCCAGAGGCCACCAGCATGGGAAGACTCAGAAGGGAAAAGTTTGATTCTGTTTCTTCCTGAAACTCCCAGACTTGAAGAAATGATAGAAATAATGTTTTCTATTAGGCTTTGGAGTTGTGGCTAAGTTCCTTCAGAAGACAGGAAAGCCAAAAGTAAGAAAACTCTAGAAGAAAGATCCTAGGCCCTCAACACCTAGACTTAGAGCCAGAAACAGAGTAAAAGGAAAGTCACCACAACCCCTGTTTGAAGGAAGTGTTTGTTCTTGATCATTTCACCATTCCACAGTGTTTGATACTGTGATGTATAAGTGTCTGTTCAACAGGGCCCTCCCTGCTCTAGTGAATGCCCTTCAACATGGCTGTATTTCCTATGTTTATAGGCAGAACATCCATTGTTTTCATATGCGTTGAGGAATTTAGGCAAAACCTTTAGATTGAGAGATATACTGACTTTTGATTCATGGTGTTGAGGCATAATAATAACTGATGTTTTCCACATCTGTGTCATAGATGGTGCCAAGTGTCCCAAATCACTAAGGACATCCAGCTCATTTGCAGTGCAAGGAGGAAAAATTAAGCGCAAGTTTGTGGATCTGGGGTAAGCACCTTCTGATGGAAAAGTAGCCTTCTGTAAAGGGGAGATTAAAGGAGGAATTATTACCATCTTCTTTCTAACTGTATGCTGTCATTGTAGGGCCCCTTTGCGAAGGAATTCCAACAAGGAGAAGAAATGGAAAGAAAAAGGAAAGGAGGCCAGTAGGTTTTCTGCAAGTAGCAGGTATGGGTGGGTGATTTAAGTACATAGATTTGTTTCTAGAGCTAACTCTCTGGCCCCTCCTCCATTGTTAGCCAGGAGAAGTGGTCAGTGTTTCTAAGCCCAAGTGATAGACCTACAGTTGTGATGCAGGAAGAACTGAACAGTCCATTCATTTCTCTCTTCATTTATAGCTTTGGGCATATGCATTGGTCACTAACTGCAGAATTACTGTCACATGAAAAGTTTCAATAACTTTAAATACAGCTGTGTGATAGTTTAGACATATTTCATGTTTGTTGCTGGATTGTTGTTTGTTGTTTGTTTTGGCCTGGCTAATTTTACATTTAAGCATCATGTTGGCATTTAAGACTGTCCTGTCCACATGTATGTAAGAATGACCACCATCTCTTGATGGATATGGCTGTGTAATGGATTTGTAAGCACTGGCAACTGTTCTTACTTTTTTCTTTTATTCTTTTTTCTTTTTTGGTCTTTTTGAGACAGGGTCTCCCTGTAGACCCAGCTGGCCTGGAACTCACTATGTAAATCAAGCTGACCTTGAACTCACAGAGATCCACCTGCCTCTGCCTGCCAAGTGCTGGGATTAAAGGTATGCACAATCACACCCGGCTAACTGTGCTTACTTTTCAATAAAGATTTTCTTATTGAGAAGTAAGTTTGGAACAGCATGTTTTCAAGTTTTCCTAATTTTAGTCTGAGGTTACATAATTTAAAACAGATTTATATAGGGAGAGAGTCAAGCACAGTATACTGAAACCTGCCTGCCTGAACTTGAATTACAGTTCTCCCCTTCCTCCTTTTAAATCTTGGACAAGTAGTTTAGCCCTCACTGCCTCTGTTTTCTCACATAAAATGAGAGTGATCATAGTTCTTACCTTATAGCATTAAAGATTAAATAACTTTGCCTATGAAGCATTTCAGATGTTACTTGGTACATAGGAGATATTAAAAGTAATATCAAGATGGCAACATGCTCCTGTTATTATGTACCATCTGAAATGCTGGTTTTACATTTACCATTTTATTTAATCTTTTTAATAAGATTGTGAGGGCAGACAGTAATACCATCCATTTTTTTTTATGCGTATGTATACTGCATGCATGTATGTAAGTGCACCCGTGTCATGCAAAGCCTGCGGAGGTCAGAGGAGGGCATTGGATCCCCTGAAGCTGGAGTTACAGACTGTTGGTAGCCACCATGTGGGTTGCTGGGAATCAAACCAGGGTCTTCTGCAGGAAGACTAGTCTTCTGCCAGTGCTCTTAACCCTGAGCTATCTCTCCAGCCCCAATACCATTCATTCTTGATATAGGATTCCATCTTCATAAAATTTGGTTGATTTACCTAGGGTTATACAGCAGTTCAGTGGGGAGCAAGATGGGGCTTGAGCCTCCTGTCTACATGTGTTTCCAGCATACCATGCCAGCTCTAGTGATTTAATATCTAATGATGCTCATGTCACTCTCCATGTCAGAGACTATGGAAGAAACACAAAATCCTAAAGATAAAATCACTGGGGATCACTTAGCTGCTTAATAGTTGCCCACTGCTGTTTCATTCATTCTTTATCTCCCTCTTCTCTAGCAATACTCCTTGGTGAGAAATTGGGGTTGGGTGAGGAGACAGAATCCCAAAATTAATCCTAGTTTTGCTAGTCTTGTTTTCCTTTAAGCTCTACAATGGAGAAAGGGTAGAATGCCTCCTTACATTGAGGGAACCCCAAGGAAGGGAAGCAAATCTGAAGCTACAAACAACTCAGAAGCAGTATGACTCTGTTTAGTTTTAGAGCAAGAACTATAAAAACATCGATTTTTGTGCCCTAAAACTAAGGACTATTAAACATACTTAGGAGAAATATAATGAAACCACTTGCAGGAGAGAACACGAGCTGCACAAATGCATGAGGACAGAAACTCAAACACCTCACAAGTGCCTCTGTCCCTCCTTTGGTCTCTGAGCGTCAGTGTAGTCTTGGCCTCTTGCCTTTGAGACTCAACCCAAAGAGATGTAAGCATAGGAGCCTTCAGAGGGGAAAGTGTTTGAATTCCTAGCATATCAAGCACATCTTGCTGTGTTTGCGGATGCTAGTATACTATATGCAAACCCACAGTGAGTCACGAGTCACCGGTGCCCGGGTTGCCGCAGCTCAGGCCATTTTTGAACCCCCAGCCAGTGTGTTAGTAGCTGCCTAGTCATCCCTGTCTCTACAAACGTTAATCCTGCATTCCCACTGCTTCGGTGATCAAAATAATTCTGCAAGTACCAATGCCACAAAGTAATTTTCAATTAGAGTCATAATTTTATAATTATTAGTAATTACAGTAGAACTTTCACAAGGTAAAAAGAGATTACATAATTGAAAGAATAAAACAAGAGGAGAACTTTTTTTATTTCAAAAATAAGTTTTGAGCTATCAGAGTAATTGGATGACACCAATCAAATGTGATAACAGCCCCAGTTCTCCTATATGAGTTGATAATGGACCCAGAACCTATGAAACATATTCCCAGAAGAAAAGAATTACCACCCTGTGGGAGCTCAATGCAGTGCTGTTGGTTTGGTGGGGCCCTGAAGGCAGTGGACACACACATAATCCACGGCAGGGCACATCAGGAGGCAATTACAGAGAGGAACAGGGAACTGACTCTTTACCTATGTAGCTTTCTCAGAAAAAGGAGTGAAAGACTCACAGATCAAGTTAATAATCTTATCTCTTAGGCTTTTCATCCAGTTCTTATTAGGTTGTTAAAATCTGTTGAGGTCATCAGTCAGTTATAACCTGTAGCTGGTAGATTTTAAAGAGGCAAGACTTTCTAAATTTAGTATTGGTTTTCATTTTTTTCTTCCCCACCAAGAAGAGTTTAGAAAAGAGTTTGCTCTGTTGTGTTTCTTGTGAAGCTATAACTTAGACACATGACCAGCATGAGACAGAGAAAAGAGATGAGGCTAATAGTCATAATATATAAGCACAGCAAAGAAATATTAATTCAGTGTGCATAGTGAGCGTTCTGATTTACGTAAACACCATAGCAGATAGCAAGCAAAAGAAGCATTAGGTTACCAAAGCTCGTTCATCCCTTTAAGTATACACCACAAGATGCACCCTGTCCTGAACTATAGAGTGGATATTAGTGGAGGTGTTAGTAGAGCACCTACCTGGAGAACTGTCAAGAAGCCCCTGTTTAGTCTCAGTGGACAGCCCCATAAGCAAATGTGTGTGTGTGTGAGAGGGAGAGAGAGAGACAGACAGAGAGACAGAGACAGAGAGACAGAGACAGACGGGGGGACTGGTAAATGGTAGTATATTGGGAAAGCGACAGAGAAGGGAGATGGCTCTCCTCTGTGGAAGTGAATCAGTATTTACCTTCAAAGAATGAACAGCGGAAAAATTCCTTTTCCATAAGTAAGTCACCTTGGTTTCCTACCAAAATAGAAGTGGCCTGGATTAAAAGTGCATGGTGTCTAACTCCTGTATCTATATATGCCATCCAGTATGGCCTCTTCTGGCCATCTGTGGCTACTGAGCTAGTCTACACTGAGATGTGCTATAGTAGAAAACACGGCATTGAAAGACAGTGTAGAAAGAGAATTATAAACATCTTGCTTTTTATAATATTAATTGCGTATTAAAATATTTTAGCTCTGAATTTTAGGATACATTTATAATTAAAATTAATTCTACCTGTGTTTTTCCATGTGGCTACCAGAAAATTTTAATTTATACATGTGATTCATGTTACGTGTCTGTTGGATGGTGTTGATTTGATGGTGATTCTATGAAAACTGAATGTTTTTTAAACTCTAGCTCATTATTCAGTTAGCCTGTAAATTAGCATGTGTCTACTCATTATGTCTCAAAATTCTTGTTTACTTTTAAAAGTACATGCTTTATAGTATAATTTATTTTAGAAGTAAATTAAATAAGGAAAAATAAGATAATGCAAAAAGTGTAGTTGGTACTTAAACTGCATCATCTTCAGCAATGCCTTCATAGTAAGTACAGTAAGAGCCTCACACTGAGAGCTGACAGCACAGTGTCAAAAGGTAAAAGCCCGAACTCAAATCTACCTACGTCATTTATTTTGGACAACTTATTTATCCTGTCTGTACCATAGTTTCCTCATCTGTAAATGAAATCACTCATTCCTCATGTAACCTCCTAAAGCTATGGGGAAGACTGAAGGGGATCACATTTAATGCATTCTAAGTCCTTAATATCTATCATTGTTGATATTTAGAGCAAATTTGCTGGGAAGGAAAACAAAGTATTCTCCATCCATATTGTATTAGCAGTCTTGTTCATCTAAGGAAGACTTTTATAATAACTTGAAGAACAGATGGGCTCTATGGAAAACTTCAGGCAGTCCTTCATAGTACTGAAGTGAGTTTTGGATTGTGTCCTATGACAGATGCCTGGAAGACAGCTCTGCTTTGATACTGGTTAGACAGAACCCTGCTTAATGGTCATCTGAGCTGAGTAGATACACCTTTTAGCAGTATCAACATTAGAGGAACACCTCTCCTTACCCCTGGGTCAGAGAGAGTAACACTGTAGGTGCAGAGTCCCCTTTAGAGGGGCTTGGTCTTGTTAATAAAATAATTTAAAAACAAATGTGGAAGGGCTCTCAAAGACAGTTTTATCAAAGTTAGAGCAAAGAACAGGTCAGGCCAGCTGAGATTTCCGCAGGTGCTGGGAGGAGAGAGATGGAAGGAAAAGGAAGGAAAGTTACTTTATAGTGAGAGTGAAAAGATATGCCTTGGAGGTGGACACATGAAGAAAAGAGAAAGAACCTGGCACCAAGGGCTTTTGTTCTTTGTAGGGGTACAAAGTCCCCTTTGCCAGGTAAGTAGACCTTCACATAAAAACTACACTTTACCCTTTGAAAACGACCAAGGAGGAAATACTTAACGTTAATACTATTTGATTTAACCTTCTAGTCAGCTAGGAGTTGCTCTGTGTAGTCTAGACCTCAGAATGTGACTAAGATACAAAGGAATAAC